GCTACAATATCTCTTACAGTTCATCAAACTGCAAACACATTTGTTTCAAAACTACCAGTCCCTTCAAATATATTTATATATATTTAAAATTTAGTATTAATGTAGGAATTATTCAAGACAAATGTAGCATATTATAATCAAACTTACGTTTTCTTGAAAGAAAATTGTAGGTCACACCAAAGCAGCTGGATCGTTGTAACAACATAATGATGAGAACCATCAATAAGTCCCAAACCGACCTATGTCTGGTTGGTTAAACTTACGAACGATGTTGTACTAGGTTTTGTCAGTTTGAAACAAAATATTTTTTATTACTAAGAAATATTTATATCCAAATATATTCTTAAAATGTATATACCTGTATATTTTCCAAAACGAAACGATTTTTTTTGCGTGTGTTTATTTTTAAAGAATTTTAGTATGTACGCAGTAGAATATAGTGTAAAAAACAACTTGTCACATCATTTCCAAAAATAATAAGTATTAGATTAAGGCGTACAATCGTGGTGAAAATTGGTCGTCGAGATTATCTTTTAATATGAACCAATTGTTGTTTAATGTGAATTTAGAGCTTCTGAACGGTGAAACATCAAAGGACGTAATCGATAATTAAGGTTAATACTGAAGTGGACGTTTCGCTAATCGAAGATCGCTTATCTTAAATCAGTTCAACAGAAAAAAAAATCAAACTTAACTCCACGTATAAATTTAATTTAAAAAGATTAGCGCAACTCATAAGAAAGAGAATGAATGTCGTGTAAACAACGGATTATTTTATATTTAAACATTTTTCAATCTAAATCCACCTGCCACTTCTACACATTGTTATATTATGTGGATTTGCTTTTGCGTTACGTAATTACACGTTTCTAAATTCCACTATTTGCTTCCCCTAATCCTTATCAGAGACTTAACTACTGTAATTTAGGAGTTATTGTTAGGAGCTTTGTCTTCAGATTTAAGTGTTTATACGTAGAAGTTATTTTTAAAGAGATTTACATCAGCAAGACATTGCGAAATTAAATGTAATCTTAATTCTAATTAGAAATTCTAAGATACAACGTACCTCACGTCTGTTTTTTTAGAATATGCGTATTATGACAATGTTCCTCAACCCGCCGAAACATTTTCGATAAGAGTGAGTCAACGCAGATTATCGCAAAGCGCCAAATCACATTTTTTATTGAGATTGTACCCACATTTTTTTACCTATTACGCTACATTTTAATTCACGGCGATTTGAATCTCATTTTCAGCACAGTCCGCTGTTCTACTACATTCCAAACCTTACGAAACGCACACGACGTATTAATTTATTTTCTTTTCTAGCTCTAGCAGCTTATTTAGAAGCCCTATCATCTCTTACCTCGAGATGAGTTTAATATATTAAAACGCACGTAAAACCAAAGAATCTGCCTGTCGACAGGATATAGGTATAAGAGGATTATCCACAGATAGTTGTAGGCTACGCCAGCGGCGCCCCTTCCCCGTTTCGTAGGGGCCCGCAAGAACCCTCAAAAAATTCACAGCAAAATAATTTAAATGCGCGTATATCGTTTTATTTAGATAATGGCAGTGTAGACAAAGAAAACACGATACTAGAAACAAATTTGATATTATTTTTAAATAGTGTTCATAGCTTTGTTGAAATTTGGAAGCTATCAAAATATATCGTGTTCAAAAGGGTTCAGTTCATGAAAATAAATCGGAAAAATCACTAAAACTATTATTATATCACAATTGTACAGTGTGCCACTTAGTTTAAGCACTGTGGCTATACACTTATTTAATTTTTATTATTTTTAAATAATTTTCATGGCCTGCGAAGAGCCATGGATAAAGCAAACTAATTTTGGTGTATCTTATACTATTATCAACAAGCAAGCCTTGTAAACATGCACAAACATACCTTTATTCTTGAAGCACGCCATCAAGCACGTCCGTAATATCATTCTTAACAAACTAATCCACAATACCTACTTTCTTGTCTCACATACGCAAACAATCGGTTTTTACTAGAATCCGATACGCCTATGTAGCCGCTGCAAAGGTTTTACCTGGCTTTATATTTATAACTATCCATCAAAGCCGGATAGTCCAACTCATATAACATTTTTATAAGATCAAATAGTCTCTAAGATACGGCTTTAAGCTGGAAGGAACGGCAAAAAATAACCTTGGGGAATACGCCCGGCGCGGTGTACGAGGTGCACGGAAAAAAAACCACCGGAGCCATTTTTGAAAAACCAATATCCAGTAAATATAACAATACGTCAGGTGCAATTAATATTGCTACCTTTGTTCAATAGTTAAAAAAAAATCAAGATCAAGTCGAATTTACTGAGATACAAAAGTGAAAAGTTCAAAGCATTAAATGTAATCATTTCCTTTAAGTAGTCCAACTTACCTGGAATTGCGTATTTCCATAAACGAAATACGCTCAAATTTCGATGTTGGGAATGGTGGTTTATGTAAGTCCTTGTTTTAACTTTCCTTTCTCATCTGGTTTTTTTCTTTCAGAATGAATAGTTGGGTGTAATAAGAATAGTTAAATTAGAATAACCATATTTTACAGGTAATTGCGGATTCCTGTACATTATATGTTCAAAGTTCCAGCGAGGAAGATGGTTCACTTAATTTCTTGCCTTGCTTGAATTATTGTTTTGAAGACGGTGAAAAGGTATGTTTGTTTATATTGAGCACTAACCCTAACTTACCTGGAATTGCAAATCCCCATAAACGTATATGATCAAATTTCGATGTTGGGAATGTTGGTTTATTTAAATCCTTGTTTTAACTTCAAATGAATCCTTTCTAATCTGGCCCTCTTCTTGCAGATAATAAATAGTTAGGTCTAATAATGACAGTTAAATTAAAATACGAATTCCTGTACATTATATGTTCATAGTTCCAGCGGAAATGATGGTTCATTCAATTTCTTGCCTTGCTTTTGAATTATTGTTTTGAAGACGGTGAAAAGGTATGTTTGTTTATACTGGGCACTTACCTGGAATTGAAAATTCCCAATAAACGTATAATATGAAATTTTGAGGGTAAGAATAATGATATATTTAATTCACTGTCTGTTTAATCATATTTGGAATTAACGAACAGCAACCTTACCTTGCTGGAAATTGCGCGGTCCAAATTTCGACAGTAGCGATAACGATAAATTTTTTCGTTGAAGAAATCCTTACACTTGAGTTATTTTTTAAGATAATGGAAAGCTATATTTGACCATATTGGGAGTTAAATGGCAATGATTTTAACTTACCTGGAATTGCGTATTTCCATAAACGATATACGCTCGAATTTCGATGCTAGGAATATTAGTTTATTTAAATCCTTGTTTTAATTTCAAATAAATCATTTCTCATCTGCTCCTTTTCTTGCGGATAATGAATAATTAGGTCTAATAATGATAGTTTAATTAAAATAACCATATTTCACAAGTAATCGAGAATTCCTGTACATTATATGTTCAATGTTCCAGCGAGGAAGATGGTTAATTTAATTTCTTGCCTTGCTTTTGAATTATTGCTTTGAAGACGGTGAAAAGGTATGTTTGTTTGCATTGGGCGCTAACCTTAACTTACCTGGAATTGCAAATTCCCATAAACGATATACGCTCAAATTTCGATGTTGGTAATGTTGGTTTATTTAAATCCTTGTTTTAACTTCAAATAAATCATTTCTCATCTGCTCCTTTTCTTGCGGATAATGAATAGTTAGGTCTAATAATGATAGTTAAATTAAAATAACCATATTTCACAGGTAATTGCGAATTCCTGTACATTATATGTTCAAAGGTCCAGCGGGAATGTTGGTCATTCAATTTCTCGACTTGCTTTTGAATTATTATTTTGAAGACGGTGAAAAGGTATGTTTGTTTATACTGGGGGGTAACCTTAACTTACCTGGAATTGCAAATTCCCAATAAACGTAAATTATTAAATTTTTAGGGTAAAAATAATGGTATATTTAATTCACTGCCTGTTTGTTCATATTTGGAATTAACTAACAGCACCCTTATCAGGCAAATTATCCCAAAGACTGTTTCCCGTAATAATATAAGTAAAGTAAAAAAAACTGAGATGTAGAACTTTATAATGTCACATGTGGGGTATTTAAAGGAAATGATGGAAGTAACATAAATAGTGAATCAATTTGAGATCGGGGCACTCGGTAGCAGTTCCTTACACATGTACGACGAGATAAAATGGGTACGGAGCGCGACGTGTCCTGGAAAGACTCGAGAAATAAAATTATCATAGAAAAACCATAATGTGCTGAAGAAATCTAGTAGTCCTCTCGTTCGCGACAAGAAAATAGAGAGACGCATGTGGGACCCGTCTTGTGCATCACATTAGAGCAGTTTATTTTATTTTATGCGGAAATCTGTAGGGATGAATAATTTGCTTGAACCCTTTGTTACTGGTGGGACATACCTTCGATGTGAAACGCCTATCCCGACGAGGCGACTCCGCCTACACATTTATTCATTTGGCATCCAGACGCTTCTATCATCTCGCGGGCGCAGGCGCGTCTCTAGTGAAAACTTTCAAGAAAATAGTTTTCCTTCGCCGCGGCCACGGAAAAAAAAGATAACCAGAGCAGAAACCGTACAACTGCACAAGGGACAGTGTAACACCTAGGCGATTGCACGGGGAACGGGGAACGGGCGACAGGACGGATTCCTGCTGAGACGCTTTGCAGGAATGCGGATTACCGAGTGTGAGATTTAGCGAAATATCACCGATAAGGATCGAGACGTACAAATCTGGTTGGCTAGTGGGCCGGCCATATTCATTAAGAAAAAGTGTGCGGTTGATCGTTTTTTAAAAACCCTAAACGTCTTTACTCCTTGAGCGCATGCAAGGGGGTGGCGCGATCTGAATTCCCTGAAAGTTCGGCCGACAGCGTCCGCCAACACGCTGCCGATCAGGCTCGGCTCCGGTGGATCGCACACTGACAGTGTGCTCCAGTCAGTCGTTCTCGGTCCTTTGGCGGCGCCAGTTGCTGTGCCGCATGCTCCTCTGAACCCCCGGTCACGTTGCCGTCGTAATGAATTAGCCACTCGCCGTGTTGTTTTTCTTGAATGAGTTCAATATATGACGATGGACTTCCAGAGTGCTATGGAGACTTTCGCTGAAGCATGGGTCGCCGCCAACACCAAAGGTGCTCCTCTTTCCGACGTCTCCACGCAGGTAAAAAACTCACCCCCCCTCTTTCCCTCCAGCCCTTGAAAAAATCCTCCACGACCATCACAGAAAACTGATGGTCTGACTATTAAATAGAGTAATAATTCCAACACCCTGTATAGTGTCGCAAATTCAACTAGTTTAAGAACGTACTCGTAAATATCCTGATGTTTATACTCAAAAAATGTTCATGAAAATCCGATCTTCACGCGATCGATTTTTCAAATCTCTAATACACCCAACAAAACTGTAACTATATACAGGGTGATCTGCTATCTTCTTAAATCAACTTCTAAGAGAAATATTGGGGTGTCAATTTTAAATAAGATCACACAATAAAACAGTTTCCAAGTTATTTTCTTTAAATATTGGAAACACATCCAATAATTAGCTGCAATTGCAGCTGGATGTGTTCGAAAAAATGTTACGTCAGGAAAATTTTTCGCGTTGGTAATGTTGCGATCACCCTTATACCCCCGATGTATTTACTCCGTGTTTCACTGAATATATTCCATATATTCGAAGCAAATCCGCTAAATCCGGGATTTTGCTAATCCGGTATTACCGATACTGGATATGAGCACAACTCTGACCAAAGCGATATATTTTCCTAATACAAATCAACTTTGACAACAGTTCCAATAATTTTCCATGCGGTGAAAATACTAAGAATCACTCAAGTATTATCGTAATCGACGTGTAATGTATTTTTTTTTACAGTCGAGTAGATTTAACATGTAATTTTCGTGCAAAGTATATATGGAACCATTTTATTTGAAATTTTTACCCATCTTTCTATTATCAATGTGACGAATTTGTTTATCGTACTGTATGCAGGGCCAAACTCGACATGAGTTTGATATGATTCCAATTTTAAATGATATTATTTTTTATTATTTCCTAAGATTGTGGCATGATAGCTTTAGATGTTCATTTTTTACTCGCTTTTTGATCGAATTTGATAGAAAACATATTTTCTAAACCAGGGGTTGTTTACAGACAATTCTAAAAACAACAAAAAAATAATCTGGAAGAAGGTAATACTAAATCACATCATAAAATAACATCATAAGGGCTGAATTATTTTTCCATAAAATAGTTTTTGGAAAAATTGTTTTTTCTTTACTGTTTAAAAGTTCAAAGGAATATTTACTTTACAGCTTTTTGTAATTTGTGTGAAATGACGTGCTAAAATCTCTAGTTGCTTTTACATCTTTTTAATCACTTAATTACCAATTTTGAAAAATAAATTTATGGCGAAACTTAAACATAAATCCTCATCATTACAAGCGGTCATAGTCCAGAGTTAATTTAAAGGGGGGGAGGGGGACAAAACTAAGGAATCTATATAATTGTACGCCATAAATACACCGTAAATTTTCAACAATTAGTACTTTTACCGAGAAAATGACAATAAAAATTGAATATTCTCTAAACTTTTGTATTTCTGTAGGTTTATCTTTATATACCGACCGTCAACTTAACATTTATGACTGGACAAATTACTACGTTTCCAACGTACATAACCAGTTAATATTTAAACTTTGTAATATTTTTTTTATATATTGTCACATTCCCATAATGATTATGTTAATTTTATACTTAATACTTGTTTGCTTTAGCGCACTGAATATCGAACAATATGTCACTCGCAATTAGAAAACTAACTAATTCCACTAATTAAACTCATATTTTACATTTTATTAAATATTAATTAATATGCACAATTTTATCTAAACCTAAGTGAACTCCGTTCTAAAATTTAATCATTAAATCCATAAATAAACAAATTTAAATAGATCATCTCCGCCCGCTCGCTTATTCAAATATTTAGAAGAGATAAAAATGATTTTAATAATTCCTTTAACATTATTTATACATTAAAATACAAAATGTTGACACGACTCCTTGTTATTCAAAACTAGATTACTACAGATTTTTAATTATCTTACATTTTATAACACGCGCATATTTTCAAAATGAAAATATAAGAACAGACTTTCTTCTTCAACAACTCATTTCGATGATATTTGTAACGGCTAGAGTTGATTTTTTTCTTGTTGTTCCTTTTTATGATAATATAATAAAAATCGTCTATCGGGTCTTTTTTGTGAATTTCAAATGGACAAGGTTCGCCAACAAATGTACTACTAAACAGAATTTGAGGACATTGTTGTATATAGCCAAAAACATCTTATGTTTCTAATTAGTCGACTGTCAAACTTTATTGCAAATATGACAGATTATTTCTTAATATGAATACTATTAGTCAAATAACATTATATATGATATATATAAATATGATGTTAATGCTTGCGCCAATACCTTAAATGTCATTAATTAAATCAAGGATCAAGACATAATAATGGATAATTAACTTATATTAGCTACTCAATATTCATATTTAGTGATACGAGAAATTCAAATCTTTCCCTTTCTACGACTTTGTGAAATATTGAAATGGGTTAAATCTCAAATTAATGTAGTTTTCATAAACAGTGGTTCAAGTCATATTTGTTGGTTATTAATAAAGTAAGTTATCCACATATGAAATATTAAAAGCGATACGCATAAATAAAACATAAAATGTTAATTAAAATAAAGTTTTTTCACACATCTGAATTTTAAATCTAATTAAGAACCTCTAAAATCCCGTAAAATTCCAAAAATTAATGATATTAATACATATCGAACGTATTTTATTTTGTTTGAAATTACTACAATTGTATCACTTTTCGATTTAAAAATATTCGAGCATCTCTAGTTCTAGCGGCTATTTCAAATTTTACCGAACTTTCCGAATCGATAATTCACCGGTGATTAAAAAACGGTGCAAGTCCTGTGCACTTACGTTGAGGGAAATTTTATTCAAACCTGACGCACTCTATCTGCCAATTATTTAAAATGTATGTGTGTACATAACGAGTTAAGTTCCATCTTATTATTACAACAACAAATTACTTCTTGGTAAATATCATAAAAACGTCAATACGGTTATTTTTATAGCGTACGCAGGTTAGTTGTAATTATAATATTAATTAATTATAATAGTTTAAGTGTAAATAAAATAAATGATCTTATTTTCTGAAGCAACTAATAATTTAATACTAAGTGTTCTGTGTACTGCTTCCGTGGTACAATTAGTAGGTTATGCCCCATGGTTAACAACCCAGAATTTTTTAATAGATGACGATCGTAATCTGCATGTATCAAAAATAAGTTCCGTGAAGAATTTGCCACCGATAATACCCTCTTGGTTCAACTCGGTAAAATTAACAGTTTAGGAAATATTTGTGATTTTGTCACAGTGGCGCCTCCACCATTTTTTGTTTTTAATTTTTAATTGGTCATAATTACCATGTTAGAACCGTACATGAATTTAAAATAAGAGCCTAGAAAATCTTACTGTCTGATACTGTAATTTTCACTAATAAAATTTGACAAACACACTTTAAACATAACATAGAATAGAAGTATAGAAAAACAAAACAAGAATAAGTTACAGTTAAAAAAGTTGTTTAAAAGAAAGACAACTATCAAAATTTTATTTCTTAACCATTGGGCATAGTCCGTCCCTGGCGTTTTGGACATGATGAAGCTTCACTTACAACATCAAAAACAAACTGTACGCGTGTGTTATCGACCACCAAATTTGCATAATGCTGAAATTAATAGTTTAGAGACTGTAAATAAAAATAACTTAATTTTCACATTTGAGGGCCCGTAACTTGTTAACGAAGGTCTGTATGAAAAAAATTTATATGAAGAACTGATATTATTTCGACCTCATCTATTTGTATCAAGGACCGAGACACCCTGTATATTTTCTACAATTTTTATTATTTTCACCGTTCATAGGTTTTTTACTGACAATAAATAAATCTTAATTCCTATCAAATATCAAGGTGATATCTCCCAAGTATTTAAAGATAAACCGTCGTCGAACGCAAATGTTTTCAAACGTTTAATGTATTTTGTGTTATCAAAATATAAATTTGTTTATCTGTCTACACACAAAGGCGGTATTTTCTCTTAATCTCTTTTAAATCATCACAAATCTATAACCTCTTATATCCGATACGAGTGCCATGATAAATTGGCTATCAAACAAATTAAATATTTACCGACCGATTTTGCTTTGAGGGGATTAAACCAGTAGTGGGTTTACCAGTTTTTTTTAATTCTGAATTTAGAAAATTTTCTATTAACTATGAAGACTGCATTTATTTAAAAAATGACTAATTTCTGCGAAAAATAAACGTAGCTTCAAACAAATTCAAAATGTGGAAGCAAAAAGATCTCCATCGAATTGTGGTGATACAAACTAAAATAAACAAAACAGATAAAATAGTTTTTTCATTGAACAAAATGATCTGAACACTAAATAAATTATATAAACCAATGGTTGGTTCAGACAATGGGATTGTTGTTATTGTCAAAATACAAATAAAGCCAAAGTCAAAATCTTAGAAGGATTATATACCTGCGGCGCACTATTTTGTAGGCTTCAACAGGTACCTCAAACCTTTTGTTTATTGGAGAAGGGTGGTGGGTCAATTTTTTTTCTTATACTAGAAACTCGGCAGGTAATAAGGTTATAAGACTGCGTTAATCGTCCGTTGTTGGATGAAATTGTTACACAATAATTTCAGCTAAGCCGATTACATTGGTCAACGCATCCTATCCATCAGCTATTTTTAATAATTCTAATTTGAGGTAAATTATTTAAACCAAACATTTGGAAATTATTTTCACTTTAATATTTTAAACAAACGGCTGGATTAATGTTTAATATTTAATTATGGTAGCATAAATTGTTAGTGGTTTATTTTATATATTCCCGAATAATTATTCCGGCGCAAAGTATTTTGATCAATAGATAAAGCTTTAAATGAATGCCGGAACCGCAATTAGCTAAAAATGGTTTCGATTTATCGCTCGTAAGTGTATTCTTTTCGAAATTGTTCGCATCGAATTACCAATTAGACTCAAACGCTATAGGTACA